TATTAATATTTTGAATAATAATAATAGTAATAATGATAGTGATAATGATAATATTCAGAATGATCAGTTAATTACAATTAATGACAACAATAATCAGATTTCTATATCCAATTCCAGGAGCTCTAAAATAATTACTCATAAAGTAATTTTTCCATCTGGTGAAAAAGTTAATAAAATTTATCTATTAAATGATAATTAAATTTTTGAATGTAAATTTGTAAATTTATAAATTAGCATAATACCACTTACAATCTCTGATTCACAACTTGATTTCCATATTCAATTAATTATTGAAAAATTTTTTTTTATTATATTAATATTAAAAATTATTTATTTCTTTACTAATATATATACTTTTATAAATTTAAATAATTTTATAATTCTATGAAATTAAATTTTAGAAAATTTTCAATATATAAATAAGTATGAACATTGTGAACAATTTAATACTGAATTATTATTTATATTTATCAACTTTAAAAATAAAACTTTGTCCAATATAAATAAATCATTTGGATGAGGATTCTATTCATAATACAAATTCTTATTAGAATTAAAAAAATTAAAAAATTTATTCAAATTATTTGTTATATTCAAATTATTATTATTAGTTATTCAAATTAGTTATAAAAAATTTATTTGAATAAACTTTCAATGTAATTCGAATACTCAAATTCATAATGAATAAAATGAATAATTCAAATAAACTTATTCGAATAGAAGCCTAACCAATACATTCCTCAATTAAATGTAAGATAAAGTGTTTTTTTCTGCATGCATTCCATCTGTGCATATTTTTCAATTTTCATATTGTATTAGTATGTGGTCACGCCTAAAATAAATAAAATATGAATTACCTTTTGTTTGTATGTGATTATATCGTGATTAATTTATTTATTTTGTACTGTATATGTTTAATTTATAATATTGTGCTATATTTGTTTTACTATTTACACTTTAACAAAAAATAATAATAATGAAATATGTTAATTAATTTCTATGGTGTAAGGATAAATATAATTACACATTATCCCTGGTGCAATCTTCATCATTGTTTTTATTGCTACTCTTATTTTATATAGAAGAAAAAAACTGGATTTATCAAAAAAAATTCAGTTACTTGCAGAAAAATATAGCCAACTAGATGATTATAAATAATTCTTGTCATTATTTTTTTGTTACTATTATATGATATATATCATCAATATAATTATCAAATTGTCAAAATGAGCACTGCTCCCAACAATTATAATGGTTATTGTCAATTGTTTCATTTAATAATACATTATCTTATTTTTGATACAATAAGATTGATTTTCTTAAATTTATTAAATAAAGTTAATATCAAAAACCTCTATTTCAGTTTTTTTTTAAAAATATTTTGACATTCTGTTTTTAAGTAACAATATAAAATTTCTAATGAAGAAAGTTTATCACACACAGAGAAAGATTTTTAAATAGTAAAATAACACATTATATGAAGTCACACTTATTTAATAGGAGATTTTAATTGGCTAAGAAATTTTGCGTTTCAACAAGGATGGTGGTAGCAATAAATCCAATATTGATTTTTCTATATAATGGTGCATAGTTGGAGATAATAACCAAACAAACACTTGCTTTACTGCATGTAAAAATTTTAATTGCACACCTGGTATAGGTTTATTTTTAATATTTGGAGAAATAGCAAAAATTTACTTTTTAATTAATTAATTAACTTAAAGATTTAACATTTGCCGTGTCACGATCTCCTTCCAAAACTCGCAAGTCGTGCGACTTCCGTGCAGTTTTATCGCCGATTGTCTCCTTTTGCGTCTAGCCGCGCCTGGTCTTTTCGGTTTTTGGCGCGATCAACGTTTTCGCCATATTTAGCAAAAATTGTGTCGTACGGCAAATGTTTTATTTTATAAAACAGGTTGCAATTGCGTTGAATTGAATTGCAAAGCAATGCGTTGCAATTGCAATTGAAACCGAAAAATCTTTGTTTTTTAAACCTAATTTTTTGGGAAGGAATTTTTTGCTTTCGCTGGGTGGTAATTTTTTTTTTTTTATTTTTCTAAAAAAAATTACAAAGAATAAATAAAAATTATTCAGTGTCACAACTCTCGCCGTCATCGTTTACCACTGTTTCATTCTCATTCTCATTATTATTATTATTATCGTCATCATTTTCAATGTTGTACGAATTTTCTACTGCATCTGTATAACATTTATTGTTGCTGACAACTTCCTTCATTGTATGTGTCAGTTTCGTTGCCGTTGATGTGCTTGATTTTTCCTGTGGGTCATGGTCTGCACTTCTTCTTTTTTTACCCGACTCCCTGCTGTTGGAACTCATGAATTGTTCCTCAAAATCCAGATGTTTGGATTTTAATGCTTTGCGTGGGGATTTCTTATCA